TGGTATTAGGGTCTGGGTTAGATAAGAGGTTAAGTATTAGGGTCTGGGTTAGATAAGAGGTTTGGTATTAGGGTCTGGGTTAGATAAGAGGTTAAGTATTAGGGTCTGGGTTAGATAAGAGGTTTGGTAAGGGTCTGGGTTAGATAAGAGGTTAAGTATTAGGGTCTGGGTTAGATAAGAGGTTAAGTATTAGGGTCTGGGTTAGATAAGAGGTTAAGTATTAGGGTCTGGGTTAGATAAGAGGTTAAGTATTAGGGTCTGGGTTAGATAAGAGGTTAAGTATTAGGGTCTGGGTTAGATAAGAGGTTTGGTATTAGGGTCTGGGTTAGATAAGAGGTTTGGTATTAGGGTCTGGGTTAGATAAGAGGTTAAGTATTAGGGTCTGGGTTAGATAAGAGGTTAAGTATTAGGGTCTGGGTTAGATAAGAGGTTAAGTATTAGGGTCTGGGTTAGATAAGAGGTTAAGTATTAGGGTCTGGGTTAGATAAGAGGTTAAGTATTAGGGTCTGGGTTAGATAAGAGGTTATTAGGGTCTGGGTTAGATAAGAGGTTTGGTATTAGGGTCTGGGTTAGATAAGAGGTTTGGTATTAGGGTCTGGGTTAGATAAGAGGTTAAGTATTAGGGTCTGGTTAGATAAGAGGTTAAGTATTATGGTCTGGGTTAGATAAGAGGTTAAGTATTAGGGTCTGGGTTAGATAAGAGGTTAAGTATTAGGGTCTGGGTTAGATAAGAGGTTAAGTATTAGGGTCTGGGTTAGATAAGAAGTTAAGTATTAGGGTCTGGTTTAGATAAGAGGTTAAGTATTATGGTCTGGGTTAGATAAGAGGTTAAGTATTAGGGTCTGGGTTAGATAAGAGGTTAAGTATTAGGGTCTGGGTTAGATAAGAGGTTAAGTATTAGGGTCTGGGTTAGATAAGAGGTTAAGTATTAGGGATCTGGGTTAGGCTAGCAGTTAAAAATTAAGGTCAGAGTTAATTTCAGGTGTCTGGTTCAGGTTAGAGGTCAAGGTAGTTTTTATTTTACTTTTTTCGGTGCTTAGGTGTCGATAAACACTATCAACTTTGGGTTCACAGCACTAAATCGCATTCCCCCCCCCAATGGCTTCATCTCCTCCATAAACTCCCTCTGCTACAATGTTTGTCCGTTTTCTTCCTTTGGAACTCTCTTTTGTTTTAGTCACCGTTCGCCCACCAGCAGGCAGGAACTTTCCTCTTCTGCGTCGGCTGATCCCGTATTTTGGCACAGAGTAGAAAATCTCTGATTACAGAGCGTGCTGCTAATTTTACTGGCAAAAAAAAAAGAGTTTTGTTAGAGAGATGAATTGCTGACTCAAATCCCTGGATTCACTTAATGGATCAAAATTGTGCTCTGTGCTTTTTGGTAATTGAAATATTTAATGTGCTGCGTGCAGGAACTGGGAAGCTTTCAAAGATGTCTGTTTTCTGAAGCTCAAAAAATTTTAAGGGAGGACAGAAACCAGGACAGCGATTGCCGGTAATTGTATGTAATGTTCGGTTAACAGCGCTCGCTATTGCTTTTTACAAAATTACCTCCATGGAAGCTTCAATTATATGTGAAGCCAAAACTTTTTTTTTTTTTTTAGTTTTTGGGTAGAGAATTGCTAAGATCACTACTGCTGCCTGTGTCCCCCTGGGGAGATGTACCTTCACTTCCTGTCCTGTGGACCCAACAGGAAACGGAAGGAAATCTCTCCAAATTGAAAAAAAACTTATATCTTAGAGAGTTCTCACAGGAGCAAGGATTCCCATTGGAGGATTATCCCTCTCCTCTGGTGGCAACTCAAAAATTTGGGGTTTTCCCCTCAACTTTTGTCTTGATGACCATGGTCACTAGGATCAATAGAGAGGGTGATTCTCTCCACTGGGGACCCAGAGTACAAAATAAAACTTGACAAAGGGCCTAACCCTTCATTGCTCTATCCAAAACTAGCAAAAAATTACTCCTTTAAGCACTTTAAAGAAAGACCATTCCCATGAATTGTGTGACATTGTGTGCAATGGCTAGTTGTCTGCAGAAACTGTGGAAGCTGGCATCATTCAATGAACATGTGCCCCTTATATATTTTTGGGTGGAAATGCCTTTTTTGGCAGACTGTATGATCCACCTGCTTATAGCTCTGAGACCTTGGCCCCTCCAACCACTGTAGGTCAGGAACTCTAGGAAACAGCCCACCAGTTGATTTTCTGGAATAATTAAAAAGCAATTTGGGTATTAAGCCATGTCTCCCACCACTCTTAGAAAATAAATTATTTTTGGGACTGACCCCTTTAAATTAATCTGTCGCCTGTTTCTGTCTCACACCTTCAGCGTGTTCCTGGTGATATTTCACTACCTCTTCTTATCTTGCGCTTCTAATTGGTCTCAGTCTTGAGGGATCCCCCACTTTTTGTACTTTCCATTATTCCTCTATGGTTTCAGCACTTGAAGCGCGGTTGCCATGGCTACAGTGGCCATTAGTGAAGCGACCTTCGCCACTAATGACATTCCGCTCTTTCTCTCAGCTATTTTCAGATGGCTCCCCCAATAATTTACTCCAGTGTTTTGTGGTGTGGCTGGTAGTCCGAGTGTACAGTCAAGTCATTTCTAGCAGGTCCCCTTCCAGGGAAGATCAGGTGACTCACTGCTCATACAGTACAGGTACATACAGGACATCACACAGAGAAGGGCTCCCTGGGGGCCAATGCATCAGATCAGCTTCTCACTGCTACAGGGCTCTCGCTGCTCACTATTTCTCTCTCTCTTTTCTTCTCTTTCTCTCTCTCTCTCTCTCTCTCTCTTCTCTCTCTCTCTCTCTCTCTCTCTCTCTCTCTCTCTCTCTCTCTCTCTCTCTCTCTCTCTCTAAACTCTCTCTCTCTCTCTCTCTTTCTCTCTCTCTCTCTCTTTCTTTCTCTCTCTTTCTTTTTCTTTCTTTCTTTCTTTCTTTCTCTTTCTTTCTCTCTCTTTCTTTCTTTCTTTCTTTCTTTCTTTCTCTTTCTTTCTCTCTTTCTCATATTCTTTTTTTTTTTTCTTTTTACAGTCCTTTCCTTCTTTGTTATCCTCATTCTTTTCTTCTGACTTCCTATTTCCTCTTCTTACTTTCTTCGCCTTTCACTCTTAATTCATATTGATTTCCTTCTTCTTTCCTCCTTCCATTTATTCAGATTCCTTTTGTTCTTCTTTCCTTTTTGTCTTCTCCACTCTTTCCTTTCCTTCTTCTCCACTCTTTCCTTTCCTTCTTCTCCACTCTTTCCTTTCCTTCTTCTCCACTCTTTTCCTTTCCATCTTCTCTCCTCTTTTTCCTTTCCATCTTCCCTCCTCTTTCCTTTCCATCTTTCCTCCTCTTTCCTTTACTTATTCCTTCATCTTTCCTTTCCTTCTTTTCTCCTCTTTCTTTTCCTTCTTCTTGCCTTCTTTTTCCTGTCACTTTCCCCTCCTCCTTCCTTTTCTATTTCCTTTCCTCTTTCCCTCTTCTTTCCTTGTCTTTCCCTTTTCCCTTTTCCCTCCTCTTTCCTTTCCTCTTTCCCTCTTCTTTCCTTGTCTTTCCCTTTTCCCTCCTCTTTCCTTTCCTCTTTCCATTATTTTTCCTTTTCTCTTTACTTTCCTTCTTCTCTCCTCTTTCCTTTCCATCTTTCCACCTCTTTCCTTTACTTATTCCTTGCTCTTACCTTTCCTTCTCCCCTTCTCTTTCCTTTTTCCTTTCCTTTCCTCTTTCCTTTTTTTCCTTCCTCTTTCCTTTTTTCCTTCCTCTTTCCTTTTTTCCTTCCTCTGTCCTTTTTTCCTTCCTCTGTCCTTTCCTTTTTCCTTCCTCTTTCCTTTCCTTTTTTCCTTCCTCTTTCCTTTCCTTTTTTCCTTCCTCCTTTCTTTCCTTTTTTCCTTCCTCCTTTCTTTCCTTTTTTCCTTCCTCCTTTCTTTCCTTTTTTCCTTCCTCTTTCCTTTCCTTTTTTTCCTTCCTCTTTCCTTTTCTTTTTTCCTTCCTCCTTTCTTTCCTTTTTTTCTTCCTCTTTCCTTTTCTTTTTTCCTTCCTCTTTCCTTTCCTTTTTTCCTTCCTCTTTCCTTTCCCTTTTTTTCCTTTCCTCTTTCCTTTCCTTTTCCCTTTCCTTTCTTTCTTTTTTCTTTTTCTTTCTTTCTTTCTTTTTCCTTCTTTCTTTCCTCTTTCTTTCTTTCTTTCTTTCTTTTCTTTCTTTCTTTCTTTCTTTCTTTCTTTCTTTTCTTTCTTTCTTTCTTTCTTCTTTCTTTCTTTCTTTCTTTCTTTCTTTCTTTCTTTCTTTCCTTTTCCCTTTTCCTTTTCCTTTTCCCATATATCTCTTTTTCTCACTTTTCTGTTTCTTTCTTCCTTCCTCCCTCTCTCTTTTTTCCACTTCCCTTTGCTCCCCTTCACATTTCTCTTTTTCAAACATTGCATTGACCAACTTGACATTTCCTACATTTGTCAGCTCGGCCACAAGGTGTCAGTTTGACATCAAGCTCCAAAGAGCTGTAACCTTGTTATCCATATAATAAAGACACCATTATAAAAATATGGGACAGCAAGGAAAGCCAAAAAAATGGGTACTACATCACAAATTACTATCCGGGAGATCAACAATGATAACTAATAATAATTTAATAATTGTCAGTTCTAATAATGATGTACTTACTGAAAATGCACATTAATTTCCCTTTAATTCAAATGCAGCTTCGTAGTGCCTTAGTGAGAAAACAGGTTTTTTTTTGGTCATTTATGATGCTTTTTCATAACCCATAGAAGCCAATCAGAATCCAGCTGACAGCAGTTACTATGGGATAACAGCACTTAGTACATCATCAGTGCTCCTCAGTATTGTCATAGTTTCCTACAAAACTGATAGTCTTCATAAAGACTCCCAATGTTGGGCTTTATCAACAGGTTCTCTTAACCAGCCTGTGTTTCTCTCAGCCCAGTGTTCCTCTTCTGTTATTTTGCCCTGCTGGATTCCACTTACAGAGAAAATGACCGGGCTATTTCTGGTCCTTGTCGCAGGCTCTGGGCGGTTGAGGCTGGCCGTTCTGATGGAGGACAGATTACAGATGAAGTGGAAGGAGGTGGAGGGGACCAGCAACATCTATAAGGTGCTAGTAAAACCACTGACGGGTAAGTGCGAGGAGGATTTTGGGATTGTTGTATACTTTCCAATAATATCTAGCTAGCACTGGGGACCAGAGCTTAGCTTCCACCGCCTTGCGGAGTTTGTTTGTTCTCATGAAGTATCATATGTGGCTTTTCTTCCAGTGCATTGATTTTCTCCCACAACCCAAAAGCATAACGGTAGATTAAATGGAGCTCACGCAAATAAGCCACCTGACAGCACTACTACTAGAGACTTTGAAGTGTAAGCTCCTCAGGGGCGGGGACTGGTTGAAACAGTTTTGTGTACTGTGTAAAGTTGAAAATAGTTTGTTAGCAAAAAACATGTATATTAGGTGACCGATCACAAATTCCACCCAGACACTCTCTTTGGGACCAAACCTTACCCATTTCCTGGCAAACACATGTGCCCATATTTTAATTCCCAAATTAGTTTGTCTGACACTCATCCCTAGTAGGTAATAGCCAGGAAGATATGAGTGAAGAAAAAAAAAAAACAGTTCCAATAATAAAAGGGGAACATTACATGCTTTATTATGTGGTACAACAAGTATAAGAAAGGGGGAGGGGCAATGTCAGGAGGTGTGTCAGTCAGGAGATAACTATTATATTGTAATATTCTGAAAAATCTAAGTAGCTTTGGAAATGAAAAAAATAAATAAAATGAGTTAATGTTTATAATTCCATTGGAAGGTCTCCACCCCTCTCTTGGAAATTAAGAACAGTTGGTGGTTGTAAATAACCATTTTTTTTCGCTTTTCCTGTAAGGAGATCCAGAACAGGAGGTGATGCTGAAAACAAAAACGGCCAAGGCCACAGTTGGAGGTCTGGACCCTGTGAAGGAATACGTTCTGCAGATACACGTCATCCAAGGAGGACAGGACACCCTCATAGCCAAGAAGAAGTTCATAAGTGAGTTACACACTCATACCTATTGTAACGCTACCCTCTTGGGGCCGTTGAGGTTTTGGGCCTCCCTAAGCTCTGCACAGCCAGGCCATACGCATTTTCAATACTTTTATCCACAGTCAGTACATAGTCCATGACCTTGGTTTTTGTTGTTTTTATTAGGGGTTACCAACTTGGATGGGGTCTAGGGGTATATGGGATGCCCAGTAGAACCGAACAACTGTGGAGGACAAACTTCTTAGACAAAATGACAAGAATCCAGCAAACAGCACAAAATGGATCCTAGGCTCTCTACTCCTTCTGGAGTGGCACTTCCCTCTGAAGAATCAGCAAACAGTCTCTACAAGGAGCACTTGGTTCCCTTAAATGAACCTCCTCAGACCCCAGATGAAAATCTCCTCCTCCACCCAGCTGTTTTGAGAGTGTCCCTGAGCAAGGGATTCTGAGACACACAAAGAATGTAGTCCCAGAGAGAACTAGTTGAGTATGGCACCTGACCGCCCTCTCCCTTCTTTGGCCCAGGAGGTGTAGAAGTACTCACACTGTCCTGTTCCTGTAGCTCCTGTTGCTTTAAGGCCCTACTCTGGGCTGGCTCCTTCCCTGCTGACAGGTTGTCTTTCCCCGGTAGACTGTGGGACAGTTGAGGTCCTTCTGTCCAGCTTCAGCCTGTAGGCAGACCTCCCTCCTCTGGGGCCCCCTCCCAGGCTCCACACCAGCAGCATTTCCTCACTCCATCTTCCACCTTACTCCCGTGCTGACCAGGCTGTCTCATATTTAAGGGCTGACCTAGCCACCATACCAGGCCTCCTGCCTAGGGATTGGCCAGATTACCCTATGCAAGTCAGCCCCTTCTCAACCTCGCCTCCTACTTCTACAAATTTCTTTAAGTTTTTAGAGCAGGAGGAGAACTGACCTGTAGAGCCCTCCAGCCTAACCTGAAATAACATTGCTGACGCATACCCAGGCTGACTCATACCCAGGCTTCTATCAAGCGTCTAACCGAAGCACAAAAAAAAACCTATGTACACTAGAGGACGTCACACTGTAGAATCAAGAATTGGTCACAGTTGGCTTTTGTCTAGGGGCCTCACAACTTGGGGGGCATCTGGTTTCTATTTTTATTTTCTAGTTCAATATTCTTCCCTCAGCCGATACCAAGACCGAATGAGAAATAAATGAAATAAAATTGCAGTTTTGGTACTTTACAATAGAAAATAACTTTTTCCTCCAATCTAGAACACATGTATCCCTCTTTAGATTTGTACATTACACCATTCAAACCCCCACCTGTCGTAATCAGGCTACAGAGGCATTGAAAATACATACTGTATATCCTCCCAATCACGGGCGGACTGACAATTCATGGGGCCCCCGGGCAATAGGGGATCATGGGGCCCCTGTGTCCTCACCCACAGTCAAACCACACCCAAAAAAGCCCATGAAAGGTACCAGGGGCATCTCATGGGGCCCCTTACTGACCCCGGGCCCTCGGGCAGTGCCTGAGTTCCCGAATGGTCAGTCCGCCCCTACTCCCAAATTTTCTGGCCACATATTTAGGTGCACTGGAAGAAATGTGCTCTACCACAAGGAGCCATCCTTGATCTGCAGAGGTGACCTTGCTCTGGCTGTGGTGATTTCACCAATCTGCTGCAGGCATGATGAAGCATTTCTTCAGTCTCTTCTCCTTCAGTGATCAGACTGTACAATGTCACTGTGTAGCAAGTCACAGAGAGAGGCTGAAGCAGGGGCTGATTTTTGTCAGACATTGGTAAGCAGCCAAGAACTGCACGGGCAGCAGAAGTTAAATGATGGTGTCATCTCTGAGCCTGATGCCGGAACAAAGGTGGCTCCTTCCTCCTGGAGAGAAAAGCAGATGATGGCATTGTCATAGAGAACATTGTGATCTCTCTGAGAGGTAATAGGTACCTTGAAGTGTTACACTGACACGTTACTATGAATGAACCAGGGACTGACAACTCATGGGGCCCCCGGGCAATAGGGGATCATGGGGCCCCTGTGTCCTTGCCCAAACTCACAAAAGCCTATGAAAAAGGTACCAGGGGCATCTCATGGGGCCCCCTACTGACCCCGGGCCCTCGGGCAGTGCCCGAGTTTCCAAATGGTCAGTCCGCCCCTGGAATGAACTCACTTGACCAGGGGTGGACTGACAACTCATGGGGCCCCTGGGCAATAGGGGATCATGGGGCCCGTGTCCTTGCCCACACTCAAAGCACACCCAAAAAAGCCTATAAAAGGTACCAGGGGCATTTCATGGGGTCCCATTCTGACCCCGGGCCCTCGGGCAGTGCCCGAGTGCTCGAATGGTCAATCCGCCCCTGCACTTGACATGAGCAAATTTCAAAGATGCTAAGTCCACTTTTTATAAGTTTTGATAACTTTTGTAAAGATGATTGGACATATGTTCCTCCCGTTGTATATTTGCAGTTGAAGATTTGAAGGCCCAAGTACGAAATGAGAAGAAAAAAGGTGGATGTGACTCCAGCACCGCAGATCACTGAGTCATCCTCCCCAGCAGAGGGCAGCACCACAATCACAGGTGAGTTTAGGTGTCGTGGTGCCCAATGGAGAGCTAGAAGAGGTCTATTTTCTAGGGGTTCCTCCTTTTGGAGGCCTTGATGTTTTGGCTTCTTCAAGCTCTCCTGCAGCCATTTTTCCAACCATCACCCATCTAACAGTATAAAGAGGCAAAGCCGCATCCACCCTACATTGGAATATTGGTCTTGAGTGGATGGTGTTACGTAATCTAATTCTCAAACGTTCATTTTTATCTCTTGTTAGAGAGAAGAGAGGACAAGGAGCAGTTGGATACTCCAAGCTCCAGACCACAGGGGCCTGAAGGACGAAAGTCAGGGCCCCAGAATGCTACCCTACTGGCCAAACCTACCCAGAAAATTTCCTCCAAATCGGAGAGAGAGGTGTCAGCTACCCCCAGCACCCCTCGGAGAGGTAAAGCGGCCTGCGTAAATTATCCGTCCATCTCTGCAAGCTTGCTAATTCATCTCTGTGATCTCCTGAACTCTAATGATCGGGGCGACGCAGAGGGTCTCCTGGGAGAAGAAAACCCTGATTGACGAGCCTGCTGTGCTTTTTCCTGAGGCTTGATAGATATCGATCGTCCACCTGTCTGCGTTTAATGCCTCGCGTCTGCTGCTGTATGTCTGCGGAAGAGTACCCCGAGCACAGGAATCAGGGCCAGACCAAACAGCCAATCAGAGGAGAGAAAACCAGATCTCCATTTTTATTTCATTCCTTTAAATCTTTTAGTACATAATCATATTTTTTTTATTTTCTGTAGATTTTTTTTTGTTGAGTTTTTATGGCAGGATTTTTAAGCTGCACACATTCGCAAAAATTACAAAAATAAACGCAAGCTTAGCTCATTGCGGGTTTTTTGTAAAGCCTCTACTGAAAAATATACAAAATAACTCCATATCTAGGCTTTACTGTTTGCAGGAGGAGATGCACAATCCACCTTGCTTCTAGGTCTGCATCCCTTTGGTTCCTGGTCAAATGACCAGTGATAAAGCATTGGTCATGTGGTCTCTACTGGAGGATCCTCAGGGGTTGGTATTTAGGCAGAGCTGGCAAATCAACTGCTTATTTATTAATTTATTTCAGGTACTTATATAGCGCCGTTAATTTACGCAGCACTTTAGATATATATTGTACATTCACATCAGTCCCTAACCCTCAAGGGGAGTACAATCTAAGGTCCCTAACCCTCAAGGGGCGTACAATCTAAGGTCCCTAACCCTCAAGGGGCATACAATCTAAGGTCCCTAACCCTCAAGGGGCGTACAATCTAAGGTCCCTAACCCTCAAGGGGCGTATAATCGAAGGTCCCTGACCCTCAAGGGGCGTACAATCTAAGGTCCCTGACCCTCAAGGGGCGTACAATCTAAGGTCCCTGACCCTCAAGGGGCGTACAATCTAAGGTCCCTAACCCTCAAGGGAGTACAATCTAAGGTCCCTAACCCTCAAGGGGCGTACAATCTAAGGTCCCTAACCCTCAAGGGGTGTACAATCTAAGGTCCCTAACCCTCAAGGGGGCGTACAATCTAAGGTCCCTAACCCTCAAGGGGGGCGTACAATCTAAGGTCCCTAACCCTCAAGGAGTGTACAATCTAAGGTCCCTAACCCTCTCATCTAAGGTCCCCTATCTACAAGGGTCCCTAACCCTCAATCTACAAGGTCCCTAACCCTCAAGGGGGGTACAATCTAAGGTCCCTGACCCTCAAGGGGCGTACAATCTAAGGTCCCTGACCCTCAAGGGGCGTACAATCTAAGGTCCCTAACCCTCAAGGGGCGTACAATCTAAGGTCCCTGACCCTCAAGGGGCGTACAATCTAAGGTCCCTGACCCTCAAGGGGCGTACAATCTAAGGTCCCTACCCTCAAGGGGGCGTACAATCTAAGGTCCCTAACCCTCAAGGGGCGTACAATCTAAGGTCCCTAACCCTCAAGGGGCGTACAATCTAAGGTCCCTGACCCTCAAGGGGCGTACAATCTAAGGTCCCTGACCCTCAAGGGGCGTACAATCTAAGGTCCCTGACCCTCAAGGGGGCGTACAATCTAAGGTCCCTAACCCTCAAGGGGGCGTACAATCTAAGGTCCCTAACCCTCAAGGGGGCGTACAATCTAAGGTCCCTAACCCTCAAGGGGCGTACAATCTAAGGTCCCTAACCATCAAGGGGTGTACAATCTAAGGTCCCTAACCCTCAAGGGGCGTACAATCTAAGGTTCCTAACTTACATTCATGGGCCAATTTAGACGGGATCCAATTAACCTACCAGCATGTCTTTGGAGTTTGGGAGGAAACCGGAGTACCCGGAGAAAAACCCACGCAGGCACAGGGAGAACATGCAAACTCCAGGCAGGTGGTTCCATGGTTGGGATTCGAACCAGCGACCCTAGTACTGCCAGACAGAAGTGCTAACCATTTAGCCACTGTGCCGCCCCCTTGCAGAACATCTTCCTGATATCATTACCCCAAAAATCAGCAAAGATGATGTAACCAATTCCCCAAATTGTGGAATGAAGGAGACTTGAGCAACCTTCATATACTGGATGGAAGTCAAACCTGGGACCCTATTACTATAAGTCCCTGTGACCTATGGAGAGTGACCACATTTTTCCTACCTATAGAAGTAATTGATTCACAACCTATCAATAGTCTATCCCCCCATATGACCTCCAGGTTGTAAGAGTAATGTTCAACAGGTTGCAGTAATACCCAAGGCACTGTGAAAGTCTAGCTTGAAAATGCAGTCTCTAGACTTGCAGTGATTGGTGTTTACTGAATAGTAGCAGCTTTTTGTTACCTTTTACTGGTTTGTAATGTCTCTTTCTGTTGCCAGGGTCGGGGCACCATTGTGACACAGCGCTGGAGTGGGACATAGTCCTCCTGGTGGACAGTTCCTGGAGCGTGGGACGTGCCAACTTCAGATTGGTGAAGAACTTCCTTTGGGGGATTCTCAGCCCCCTCCACATCTCCAAGGACAAGATTCGAGTCGGTAATGAGACTATGGTGTCATGGTGGGTTGGTGGTGGTAGGATGAGTCGTCTGGAATCATACAATGTTCAGAAGACTTTGACATGAGGACCTGGTTGGTGCAGTTGTGAAAAGCTGAGGGTAGGAGATGGAGAATTAAAGTGTATCTAAAGCCCAAAACTGTTTTCTTTCATTTTGGATGGAGTAGGGGAGGCTAAGAAAAAAGATGGCCTAGAAGAAGGTAGGCCAGAAAGGGAGGATGAGTCGGGATTCGTTATCTGGAAAGCAGAATATGAGTCTCTATCGTTATATTACCCTCCCACAGTTTTCCCAATTTTCACTGGATTGGAGAGGGTCTTCCATCATGAGCAAAAGAGATTCTATGGTATTGCATAATGATGTTTTCAGGCACTGGGAACTGAAAGGGGAGAGGTTAAAACCACTTACATGAGAAGCACTCTGTAGACCTCATATTCCAGCCAACTTACTGATCACCTGAGATGATGCAATAGTGAATGGTACTGTCACCTGAATGGCTAGACCCATTGTGCATCACTAGAGCGACTGAACAGAATTATTCCAATCCATCCAAAATGAATGGGTTACAATATTTAAGCACACCACAAAGGTATTGTACATTGCAGTACATGTGCTACCTCAACGCACCTTAGTATGAACAAGCCATGAGCGTTAGAGGTAGATCAGATCATGGGAAAAGTCTCAATGGGGGTTATTCACTAAAATTGGAAAGTGCAAAATCTGGTGCAGCTCTGCATAGAAACCAATCAGCTTCCAGTTAATTTTGACAAAGCTTAATTGAACACGCTGAAGTTAGAAGCTGATTGGCTCTCATGCAGAGCTGCACCAGATTTTGCACTTTCCAGTTTCAGTAAATCAACCCCTATGTCTGTCTATGTACACGCCATGGCTTTTGTACTCTTCACTGCCCCCTACAGGTCTATCTCAGTACAGCGGAGAGCCACAGACTGAATGGGATCTGAACTCTTATTCCACTAAAGCAGATGTCCTGGAGGCCATTAGAAGGGTGAAATATAAAGGAGGAAACACCTTTACAGGTATGGGTACCTTTATTTTTCCAGCTGCAATACCCTGTGAATCAGCCCGCATCACTGTAAGACGTATACCCTTGTGTGATCAGGTATGGCTCTCACCCACATTCTAGAAGAGAATCTCAGAGCCGCCTCCGGGGCCCGAGCCCAGGCTGGCAAAGTGGTGGTCCTCCTAACGGATGGGAAGTCCCAGGATGATGCCATCACAGTGGCACAGACCCTCAAGGAGGCCGGAATATATTTGTTTGCTATAGGTAAGCAGGCAGAGCAAGAACATTAAACGATTTCCTCTTAGATTTCTTCGTTATTTTCTTCTTGTAACAAGTGTTCTTTAATGCCTTCATTGTTTTAAAATGGGACTCCATCAATTTCATGTTTTGCATGGAGTCAGGCAGGGTTAGAGCCTTGGTTGGACTCCTAATACTCTATGTTGACCACATAGGTCTCCAGCAGGGACACAAACATCAATAAGGTCTTGACCATGGTTCTAACTGCCCCCCCCTTCCTTTTTTGTATTTATCACCCGTTCTTCTCCTCCTTTTCATTATTATTTTTGCTGTCCACCTGGCCCCATCCTTTGCTTCCAATTTTACTGGTTGACACTTTTGAGAACACATGCCTGGAACACCTGTATACATAGAAAGGGCCAACACATTCTGTATCTACCAACAACACACAGTGCAGCTCAAAGTAACCTAATTGCCTGCAGAGAAACCATTGTTTCTGTTTTTTTGTTACCAAATGTCTATTCCAACACACTGCCAGAAAATCTTGGAGAAAAAATTGGACATTCATTTTCATCGAAGTTTCTGTTTACTTCTCAGGGGTGAAGAACGCAGATGAATCAGAGCTGAGAGAAATGGCGTCCAAACCAACCGACTTGA